GTCCCTTCCAACCCCGACCAATCTGTGAATCCCTGAACCAAGGGCTGCCCGAGCTGCCACACGTCGTGCAGGCACGCAGAAGTGCTTTGGAGCATCTCTCCAAAACCCAGCGGCAGTTTGCACAGCTGGGGGACACTACAGCAGAGCGGTGCCTTGATGTTGGGAAATGCTCCACACCAGCCACAACTATTTTCCGGACAGAGCTGCATCAGCTCAGCAGCAAGGTGAGGCATTTCCATGATGTCTGCTCCTATGTCAGAGCCTTCCAGCACAGCATTAGTGCTGGAATCATTCAGACTAGGCTTTCTCCAGGGCTCAGCCTCTTTAAGAATGACTTCTCCACATCAGACATGCAGCTGGGGATGGTCACGCTCTCCTTGGAGGAGTGGGGACCACATCGGCCAGCTCTCCCCTTAAAATATGAGCAGGAGGCCAAGCCAGCATGGGACCCCACTCACCTCCGAACAGCAGGCTACACTCCTGTCATGGATTGCAGACAATGAAGACCACCCACGCTCTCAAGGTGTGCCCCACCATGATGTAAGCAAGCTACGTCAGAGCTCGTTACGAGCGGATAGCGCTTAGACAAGCGGTGACACACAGAAGAGAGTCCTGTTCTTGTTGTGACTGGTTAAGAGCTCTCACAGGGTTCTGCTGCTTCTCGCTGAGCTTTGAAGCATCGTGACTCATTAACTGTTGCGTACTGTTTCCTTCTGTATCCCAAGGTACTTGTAGCTACGTCATTCCACCCTACTGACCTCCTCCTTTTCCAAGAACTCCCTGACATCTGGGTCCTGCAGCATTGTTGGATGGCTGACCACTCTCCGTAGGTACCTGCGGAGAGGAACGCACCAAGAGTTACTTCGGTTGTAGCAAACCGGGCTCCGAGCCATCACAGCGAGCTGCAAAACTGTTGTTATTTACTCTGAAACGACACTTCGGTAGCTAGAAGTCAGGCCCAGCAAGATGTTCTCATTCACCCACCAAGAATTCGACGTCCCTGTGGGCCCTAGTGAGACCAGCCTGCAAGACCAGACCTGCCAGACCTTTGATTAATACTTGCTATAGCAAGAAAGTTACTTGATAGGCCGCGTAATCAAGATTTAGCATTACATCTTCAACAATGATGCTTTTAACAGGTCTTTCAGAGGCTGAAGCTGGAGGAGGAGGGTGAGCATCCCCGTGCTACAACAGTCAACACAGGTGGCAGAGCACAGTCAGGGTGCAGGTTAGACAGAGATCGAGTTGTTTCTCACCTGATCTGCGCTGCTTGTACAATTACTTAACGTCCATATTTTTGGGCTCCTGAGACAGATCGGTTTTCTCCCTGCCTTGTCAGTGGAGTTGGGCCAAATTTGGACCAAACACCAGGAGATTATTTTACAGAGTCAAAGCGACTCCCTGCAGTTGCTACTCTCCAGCGGCAAACCTAGAAGCAGATGGCTTTTCTCACGTAAGGGAGGAGAGCGCAGCCAGTCTGACCTCTCAGAGGTCCCTTGCTTGGTTCAGGCACGAGGGGATAGCTGTTGGGGTCTGTACCTCTCTAAAGCAGCCCGTCTTTTTTCTAGGAACTCTGCAGAGGAGGAATCTTCTTTCCCAACTTTCACTTTGGTCATTCCTAGCACAGAAGGAAGACGTAATTAGTGAGCTGCTTCAAAACTCCACCCACAGGGTAGCGCGGTCTGTTACAAAGAACAGACTGTCAGCCAGGGTGATAGTAGAGGAGAAGCATTTTACAAGAGGAATTAGACCTTGCATCAGCAAGAGCTACTCAGAAATTTAAAATCTGCTTACGCCTAACATCTAATAGAAGTCGACACATAGAAAAGACGCGGAGGCAAAACTGGGTTACAGGTCTGGACTCAAGTGAACAGCAATTCAGTGACAGCACAGAGGATGAGGTTTCACTCTACATCAAGCAGATGTGGAGGCATCTGCGAACTCAAACAAGGCCTTTAAGCCCAGAGCTCCATGTATGGAACTCTAAGTTTGTCTGTGCCACAGAACCCAGATTATTTTTCCACACCTGCTTCCCATGGCTGCTCTGCAGCTTCCCTCTCAGCTCTGGGACTGCCAGCAGTCCTGTCCTTCGGGCTCAAAGCTCGTCATCAGAAGGACCAGCTCTAGCGCTCTGCACCTTCACCACTCACCTATGAGACTCTTCTCGGGCGGCGGAGGAACGATGAACCCATTTTGGGCATGCTTCTCCGACAACTTCTCATAGAGACCCAGAAAATCACTGAACCTCCTTTTCACCGAAAACTGCTTGCTCCTGAACATCGGCATGCTCGTCTGGGGGAAGAGACGAGACTCGGATCAGGCTCACCCAGGACAGCTTGCCCCCGCACGCACGGCCTTGCTAGCACTATCTGCTGTCACTTCTGGGGACGAAGGAGGACAGCTTGAGCTCCCCAAGACAGGAGGAATGAATAGAGCAAGCTTCGGCCTCGGTTTTCAGCAATTTACCTCCTAACAGCTCTCCTTGGATCTAGCAGCAGTGTTAACACCGCTGAATAACAGAGCGGCTGTTACTGCGGCCGCAGGCTGCTCGGTAAGCTCTGCCCGTTGCCTAATCCCGTCATCCCGGCTCCCCATGGGAACAGGGACCGCCGTGAGGTCACGCGTCATCACCTTAAGACCACAAGGACCAGCAGTGGCTTTTGACTGCGTTTGCAGAGCAGGACTGGAAGGTAACGAGTCCCCTAACCCCCCTTCACACACCATCAGCTTCAGACCACAGGACGCCTGTAGCCCAGCAGCGGCTGTGCAGCCAGCCAGGAACAACTTTTTGCAGAGCTCAGAGCAGCATCCCAAAGCTCCAAGCAGGGCAGCAGCCACAGAAGGCGCGATTTCTTGCGACTAGCGCCAGAGAGCAGGTCCTGACATGAAATTGGCTACAGCAGCAGCTCTTCAGCGAGAGCAGAGCTCAGGTCAGCTTAATCTGATGCTACTATCGGCACAAAAACATTAGTAACAGCCCCAATGTCTGAGCTCTCCCTAACGGACGTCGTTCCTGCTGCTCACTCCAACGCTGAGCACTGGTATCGGCCAGGCACTGCAAAGAGGAAACTGGCTGGAAAAAAAACCAAACCAAACCAAACCAAAAAAACAGCCTCTTTTCAAACAGGTTCAAAAAATCTATTTCTCAGCTAGGCTTATCCTTTGATCCACAGGACTGGATTATAAATCCCGAATCCACGTAACAAGGCATTCAGACCTCCTGTCTATTTAGGTCACCGTTGGCTTGGCTAAGGAAAGACAGTCGAGCTGTGGAAAAATAAAAGCATCCCATCTCAGGAGCGATGGGTTAGACACACCTGTGTTGACACTTTGTAGGCTACGTACGCGTTCATGCCATCCCCTACGGAAAACAGAAACAAGGCATTAGCGGAAAGTGCTCATCTCGTGATGCTACCACCCGAACGCAAAGCGCGAGGCTCCTGCAGTCTCCTGGTCTTTGCCTGCCTCAGTGGTTCCGATCTTTGGCCTGACGGAGCCCCGAATCTTCGCACAGAACCACAGGCAGCATCTCACTGCGGGACCCCAGACCCTTGCCCACTCAGCGTTTCCCTGACCTGACTGCTTATCCTTCCTTTTACTTCCTAAGGCGGCCAACGCGGACAATCAGGCGCTTGTTACACCGACGGCATTTGGGCTGACTCCACGCATCTGCTCAGCAACGCAACAATTCGGCGGCTGTGCAGCACATGAAGCAGTCTATTCAGAGGATGCAAGTCAGACGGCCCCTGGCTGCGTGTGGTTGGATTCTGAAACATCGCGGGCAGTTTTCTCCAGCTAACACAGAAATCCCCTTGTTTGGCAGAGGAAGGGTTTACCTGGCGGTTCAACTGGAGGGCATCCTCAGAGGTCTGATGCCGCCCTTAACATACCTCTGATTTACAAATCGGCACATCTCCCAGCTCCAAGATCATGAGCCACGGAGTGAGAACCTCACTGCCGCACGTGAGGCTGCTCTGCCGGCTGGGATCACATGTCACCTTGGGTTCCCTGCACCCCAGGGACCGCCACGTAGCTGGCCAAGCTCCTCTGACCCCCACTTTCAACAGAGGAAAACCCTCTTGCTTCTCAATTTGAAGCCAGAGCTGCTTCCCTAGCAAGCACAGCTGCTAGGGAATGTGCCAAGCCATGGAATAATACACTTAGTTTTAGGTTAAGGCAGTTTTGCCTCCTCCCTGCTGCGTGTACACAGGACAGTACTGCCTGGAGGTCAGGTCAAGCTGGTCACCGCAGTTCCGGACACCAAGCTGTGCTACTGCAAGTGTCATGTTTCACCTTCCCAAAAAACCCACTCCGGGCTCCCCGCCTTCGAGGTCCCCGGCTTTCCAGAACCTGCTTCTGCCTCGCTCGTTTGCAACCTATAGGCATTTTGCTTTGTGTAGCTTCGTTTCTTCTAGACGTTGGAAAAAGTCTTGGAGAAGTTACTCTGGGATCAAGTTTGCGCTTTGCAGAGACAGCTCGAAAGCTGGAGCTGCGGAGGCGATACCTAGCTTCGGTCCTACTGCCGAGCCTAGCTGCGCTTCACTGTGCGCTACAACAGGGTATTAACTCACCAACTTTCTCTGGGTCGCTCACTCCTACAGTCAGCTCAAATTTGTCCTCTTGTTCCTCTTCTTCCAGCTGTTTGGAGTAAGGGCGCAAGGACAACAAGTTAAAACTAGAAAGCCAGGCTTCAAACCACCCCAAACCACAAAGTCCCGTACAGCATGGTGAGCTTGTCACGCTGCTGAGCCATCTCTGGCACTTCAGTCCGGCCAAGGCCGTTCTTTAAAGCCCTCCAGCTTCTCGCTTGTGTCCAGGCTACGTGCTCCAAGGATCCCAAACCGGATTTGTCTTTACAACACTGCTATCCGCACACTCCGAGGTACAAACCGCTCGGCCCCGAGGTGAAACTCCACAGAGTCCAGCCTCAGCTCTGCACAAGATAGTTCCTGTTGGGTTCTTTTACATCATGATTTTGGTTCTCATCTGAAACCGTGCAAGGTACTGAATCTGTGCAGAAGCTAAGTTGCTCTGTGCAAGGAGGATGGAGAGCCAGGATAGCCACAGGCAGACCCAGTCTGAACGGGTCTTTCCATCATACCCTGCTTTGCCCAAGGCACTGGGCGGCTATACCAGCAGCACCGCTTCAAACAGACCACGGAGGCTTCGGGCTCGCTCAGCAAGCGTCGCAGTGCCTCGTTAGTGGAACGGCGTTAAAGGACTGGGCAAAGCAGAGCTGAGACTGGCCTCAAACTGCCTTTGGTTTATGACCTGAAGGTGACAGCTTATCGGTTTGCTGATCAGCTCAGCATCCTGGCCTAGTTCTGCATCATTCCTTCGCTTCAGCCAACCTGAAGCCAACCTGAGACACTACTCCTGACGGCACTGCAGAGTCAGTCCTCACGAGCTCAGCGTGCTTGGGGCAGAAAAGGAGCACTTTCCTTCTCTCCAAAATAGTTTCAGTCTCTCTGCAGGAGAAAACCCAGATTTAGACTAAGCACCACCTGATTAACTGGGCTTGGCAGCCAGACTACAAGCTCCACTTAAGGACTTTGCGCTCTCACGTCACCCAGGCGACTGTTTCTTTTAAAACCACGCACAAGAGCGGTCATACCACTCGCCCCATCTGCAGCAATACAGCGCGCTAGAGCTCTGAGTCAGAGCTCAGGCCGTCAGGACCAGACCGGGCCGCTCGTTATTTCAGCTTTGGAATCAGGCTGCACCACCGCACGAGCAAAAATGCCGTCAGGCTGACCTGTACCCTGATCAGTCCCAGACCAATGGCCTGAGATACAAGCCAGGGCATCTGATATGCCAATTACATTAATTATATCATTTAAGATGCATGTTTTTAATTAAGTAAACAGACAGGCTCCTGCTAATTACAGTCCAAAACCAGCAGGACAAGTTGGAAAGCTCAGAGAGATTCTCACCTCCTCATAGCTCTTTGAAGGGTTTCGAGAAGAAGAGCTTGCAGCTACTTCTAACGAGGGGGCAGGATTGGATGCTTTGGCCAGTTCCTTCCTCTGGTTGTTTTGCGTGCTGTCTAGAGACAACTCTACAGTGGCATCTGTCAAGAGAACTTTGCAAGGGTCAGCTTCTCTGCTTTGGGTTTCTGGAAAGGTAATTTCAATATCCTCTGAGAGGTTCATGGGATGTGGGGAGCAACAGTAGTCTGAATTAGCAAAAAAAAAAAAAAAAATCGTAGGGAGGACACCTGCGAGCACTGGGAAGAGCACGACTTAATGCATCTTCACTGCGGTAAGAGCATTTGATCAATCCTGCTGGAGAACATTAATCCAATGAACTTATTCTAGAAGGAGGCAAGCGTCACCTCCTTGCTGCGTGCTAGAGGAGCCGCGCACTAGAACAGCTAAAGCCGAGCTGGATTTTTACACGGAAGGCAGACTCCTTCCCAGTACGCTTCTTCACCCAGAGGAAGTAAAAAACCTTCCATCTGTTAGCAGATACCTCCAGAACTGACTCTCAGATGCCCCTGCCAGAAGTGTCCCACCATGCCGGAAGGTCTGACCCTCCTCGTTTTCCCCTGCTGAGGAGCGTTACGTTTCCCACTCCTTGGGAACGGCCGTGTCTCGGCACAACTATGCTACAGACCTGGAGGAGGCTACTCCGACCTTCCCAAAAACACCACCAGAACTTAGTGCTTCCAGAGCAGGCTGGAACACGAGTTTGAGATAAGGACCTGGGATAGTCCAGAAATATCCATGACCTGCACGGCACGCTTAAAAGCGGATCGCTCCAGGCTTAGAGTTCAGAAAGTCTCAGTAAACATCCTGTAGATACAGACTCACCTGCAAATAAGTCTTGATCATCTTGCTCTACACGAACCCCATTCTCTTTGGAGGTGCTGCTCGCAGGGAGAAGAGATTCCCTTTTCGGTGTCGTGGGCTTGCTCTGCAAGAGAATTAAAAGCACAGAAACAAGAGGTCATTCAGGCTGAGGAACGGAGGCTGGAGGACCAAATAGTTCCAATTTCTAGTTACTGCCACGCAGGTTCACTATCAGAAATCCCTGGCCAGAGGACACAACAGACCACGTCCCTTCCACCCACCCTCGAGCATTAGATCTCTGCCAGCAAGGCTGTACCCAGGCACCTGAGCCGTTAAGGACACCAAGCGTCATGTGAAACTTCAGAGCCAGTTTCGACCCTGATTTTTAGCAGAAGGGGAACAGCTAGCGGGTCACTGGGATGCGCTGGCCCACAGGCCAAGCATCACAGCCCCAGTCCCAGTGTCGGGAGCAGTAGGCAGTCAAGTACACCCAAGCCCTCCTGTTCATGTCACCCATAACACACCCGGCCACACCATTTCCAGGTTGCACGTCAGCACTAACGCTGCGTCAAGGCGGGTGGGCAGCACTAGGGAACCTCGTGCGCTTAATCGGAGCGAGCCGAGCACGCTGCCAACAGGAGATCCCTTGGGAAAGCCAGGCTGTCGCTGCTGGCGGCGGCGACCGGAGGCGATGCGCTCGCCCAAAGGCAAGACGCCGGGGACTGCGGGAGCCTTGTCAGCAGCTGAACTTGTGCTAGCAGTTCAACCGCTACCACGAGGCGAGCTGCCCTTCCCCGGAGGGCTGGTTAGGGCCCGTGTGAAGGCAGCCGGGCCGCGCTTTAACGCAGCATCTCACTTTCACTGCCAAGCGGTGCCAGAGGAGCTCGGAGACTCCACTGCCCCGGCACTGCTGGGAGTCAGCTTCATGGAGCCGCACTGTCCCCTCCTACAACACTCCTCAAGGCAGAGACAAGGCTGCTACGGCTGGACTAAAGCCGGGCACGGCTCTCGGTGCTTGGCAAAGCCTTGCACACCACGCTTTGTGACCCAAAGCTTGTGCTCCCCACGTACAGCTCGGCCGGGACAAGCCAACCCCGAGCCCCAGGGCTGGGCGTTACAATACAGCTGATCCCGCCACAGCAAACAGCCCCTATGGCACGCAGCTTCGCCGGGGGACTGTCCCAGCCACCGGGAACAGGCCTGGGGACAAGGTGAAAGCCCACCCAAGTGTTTGTACGCCAACCAGTCCACCACACTAGACGGGAGAGCTATTTCTAGGCAGGTGCTACCGGCATCACAAATCGTTCCTCATTTTGCAGGCAGAGAAGCGAGTACAAGTTATTCCAAGTAGGATCAGACAGCAAGCACTATTCTTTAACGTCTTAGCAGAGAACAGAACAAGTCTTTGACGGTCAGTAAATGGAGCACTATTAGCCGTGACTCCGAACCGACAGGCTCCTTGGTGCTTTCTTCAGCAAGGAAACGTCCTCGGCTCCCACCGCTCCTGAAGGAGGAAAGCAGTGCTGAGGCAGCTCCTCTTTGAGGCGAGCCCGAGTCTTTGCGCACATAAAACATCAGCATCGTCTGATGGCGAGTCCTCCTGCATTTTAGGATGTTTTCCTGAAGGGGAAAGCTGCCAGCTCGGATCACAACAGTTATAGGCATAAGCTACGTTTGCTAGTGATGGAGAGCGGGAAGCAGAGACACCCACGCCAAACATTGCAGCCAGACCCACCCCAGGGTCCTTCAGACTGGCACCCAAACCAAGAAGAGTGCAACCACCACAGGGACCTCCTCCAGCCAGCAGCCAAGCCAACAAGAGGGCTGCTACCACCAGCGACTGACGCGAGGGACGTTTGGAGCAGGTTTCATTCAGATCTCCTCCTTCTGCAGGAGCTCTTCAAGCTGGTAAAGAAGCCCCACTCTACATGGACAAGGTAAGGTGGGCTCTGAAGTTTCCATAATGAGAGTCCCAGCTCTCAAAACACAGAAAAGAGCTATCTGCTTTCCTACCACGGATCAGCTTCTCAGTTTGCTTTAAATTTAGTTTCTAAGAGTACCACGCCCTGTTCCTACTTCTCCATCTGCTACTACAGAAGAGCCGCGGCCCCTTCCGCAACCCGTGACACAACCCCCGCCATCTCAGAGCCCTGATTTAGCAAACCCCGACCATCACGCCTGCGGGCAGAAGCTCCTCAGGTCCCCCAGCGCAAGTCTGACGCTCACCAGGGGGAAACACACCTCGCGTCAGAAGAGCTGGCAAATCGAGGGGCATCCCTGGGGAGGTCCTAGAGAGGATCGTGATCACGCAGCGATCCAACCTTCATCAACGGACGGATGAAGTCCAGCTCTGCTTATATTTGTGTCTGATCCAAATGTTTCTTTGCTGGCCGCTGCACGAGGCTAAGCGCTGTCAAAGCACCTGAACGCCGGCAGCCGGGTGCTTCTGCCTCACCAGCCCGACTCCCAGAAAGTGTTTTGCTAAAGCTCAAGGGCAGACAGACAAACAAAGCCGCCGGGTCGCACAGAAGAGCCAAATATTAGTTACGACAGTTGCTTCAACAACAGTAAGCGCCTGATAAGCTGCTTTAGCTTAACAGATTCCGGTTTTAGTGAAGGGATGCTTTATTTGCATGAAAGCCCGCGGCAGTTGGCACTTGTTTTGGGAGGCTGCCTCTACCACTAAGCAACAAGCCACATACTAAATCTTCCAGTTCTTCAAAGAAGAAAGGGCCTGACAAGTTCAAGACCACCACCGTGCCCTGGTGCCAGCCAGAGGTACCAGCATCTTCCTCTTGCAAGGCCAGGGTTACACTTTCCCTGTGTTATTTTCAAAACACATGACTCTGCCGCTCCGTTATGCCCAGACCAACGTGAGAATTTCATCCTCACAAGCTCACGCAGGGCAGAACCTACCCACATCTCCCCAACTCTGCCTTGTTCCCAGCAGAAGACAACCTGGTCAGGAGCTTCATCAGAAGCAGAGCAGAGACAGCTCCAGCTCTGTGCTGGTGGCAGGAGAAGCTTGGCCAGGCCGGCTCTGTTCCCAGCAGCAGGCAGGTTCACACATTCACAGCCGTGGTCTCCTGCTCGAGGCCTCCTTGTGCACAGCCCGGGGAAAACATCAGGGCTGGGAAACTGCAGACAGGAGAAGGTTCCTGGAGAGCGTTCTGCCAGAGACACCAATTCCTCCTGCGCTGCCGGCAGCAGGCTGGAAAAAGCCTGGGTGAGGCAGGCAGAGGCCACGATGTCAGGCCTCGCGAGGGACA